GTTTTCAGCTTCCATTCTTCCAGAGAAGACTACATTCAATGTTGACAATGTTAGAGTGTGCAAAATTTTGGTAATTATAATTTATAATAAAATTATACTTTAATCGATGTTACTTATATTTTGTATTTATTAATTTTTTGTGTAGGGATCAAATTTATACAATTCTACTGTTGTCAATGGTATGGTATTCAAACGTACAAATGAAGGTGATATTACTAAACAGACTGATGCCAAGATTGCTGTGTATACATGTCCCATTGACATTACTACAACTGAAACAAAAGTATGTTGTACTCTATAGCTGTATCATAAAGAAATAAAAGTTTTTATATACTTAGTACTTCATTTGTTAATTTTAGGGAACAGTTTTAATCAAATCTGCAGAAGAATTGCAAAACTTCAGCCGTGGTGAAGAAATGGTGCTTGAAGAACAAATTAAAGCAATTGCTGATGCAGGTGTCACTGTGATTGTTGCTGGTGGTAAATTTGGAGACATGGCTTTACATTATTTAAACAAATACAAAATTATGGGTGTTCGATTAATGAGCAAATTCGACTTGAGACGATTGTGCAAATCCATTTCAGCTACTGCTTTACCTAGACTTGTAAGTATTTATGTGCAAATGCTATAACTTTATTTTAAGCAGGGGTATGATTACAAAAGAAAAATATGAATAGAGAAAGAATGTTTAGGAAACATTTTCAAACTGTTGTTTAAAGAAAAATTAGTTTTCCATCTGATTTTAAAGGAATAAAAATCATCCCAGTTGTAATTGTTTTTTGATATTTCCATTATATTCTTATACTTGTTTTGTTATTTGTAAAATCTATCAATATTTCAAAATCAATTAAAAATTATTTATCTGAAATACAATTTTTTTGTATTTAACTAACAATTTAACATAAATATTAATTGTTTAACTTTAGACCCCTCCAAACAAAGAAGAACTTGGTTATGCTGATTGTGTTTATGTGGATGAACTTGGAGACACTTCATTAGTAGTATTCCGTTTGGATGGTAAAGACTCTCGCATGTCAACAATTGTAGTACGTGGTGCCACTGATAACTACATGGATGATATAGAAAGAGCAATTGATGATGGTGTAAATACATTCAAAGGCATTTCCAGAGTATGTTTAAAATAAATTATAAAGAGTTTTGTATTGATATTTTGAATAAATAAATAAATGTTCTCAATCTCATTTTAGGATGGAAAATTATTACCTGGTGCTGGAGCCATAGAAATGGAACTTGCTTACCAAGTAGGCTTATATGCCGACACACTGCCCGGATTAGAACAATATGGTGCCAAAAGGTTTGCAGTTGCCCTTGAAGGTTTTGTTAAAATTTTAGCCGACAACACTGGTGTGAAATCTAATGAAACTCTTGCTGAACTTTATTCCCAACATAGCAAGGGAAATAAAAATGCTGGTTTTAATATTGAAGTATGTTATTGTGTTTGTAATTTGTTTTTCTTAATTCATTTGTAATTTTTATTATTTCCTTAGCCTAAAGGATCATCATTAATAGATGTCACAAAAGTTGGCATTGTTGATTCTTACTTATCCAAGTTTTGGGGCCTGCAGTATGCCACACAAGCTGCATGTACTATACTGAAAGTTGATCAGATCATAATGGCTAAACGAGCTGGCGGTCCAAAAGCACCCGGTGGACGTGCACCTGATAATGATGATGATGCGTAATTTTTTGTTGTACATACTTGGTATTTTATATTTTACCCACTAATTCAAGTTACTAACTCTTAATAATTGTACTAAGTATTTTTTTTACTTGTAATGTTAAGAATCAATTTTGTAAAATTCTAATAAATAAATTAAAACGATTCTTAATTATTTAATTACTTTTTAATTTATTTCTACTTTTAAAACACTATGAATTATTAATTTTTTCTTATAAGTTATTTACAAAATGTAAAGCTATTAATTTTCTTTGATAGACGTCATCATAATTTGAATAATTGTGTTGTAATAGTTGCACATACAAAAGATAAAAAAAAATACATTTGTTGTCAAGTTAAATTGGCTTTTTTTTTCTTAAATATTTCAATCTCTTTACAAAATAAAACCAATGAGTATTAAGCATAGGCACGATTAGAGTAAAAAATATAAAATACAAAATATATTTTTCAATCACCGCCTCTCAGAAACTTTTGTTTCACTCTTCACCCTATATAGATATTTAGGTAATAACTATTTTGTTCACAAAATAGCAAATGCCAAAATATAACCACAAAGCATGAATACTGGACAGAATTGAATGGTCAAAAAAATATTGACCATTTAATTGACAGTATAAGAAATAAAAATAACAAGTAGTTAGTACATTGTAATGCTTTTCAGCTAATGACGGTTTGGTGTACTCAAGTGTTCAATAGCATTAATACAGTTTTTGTACACTCCGTTAATGAGCTTTTTTTATATCTACACATAATAATATGATATGACTGAATAACAGCAAGCTGTGTGTACCTAATCATCTTTATCAGGCTAGTGGTCAGTGGGGGAGGGGGGTTCAAAATCCCCCAAAAATTAATAGTTGTGCAATTTATTTAATTTACAAAAATTTGTTTTGTTATTTATTTTTTCAGTAGATCTCACATTATTATTTTTATTTGTCAATATGATGATATAAAGTTCTGCATGGGTTTTTTGGGGCTTAGCCCCTCCAACCCCCTCCCCCCCTTATTGCGCCTTTATCCTATTAAGGATAACATAGAAAAGTATATACAAACATGAGAAGAGGTGACAGTTCATTAACAGAACATCAGAAATAGTTTAATTAATTAAAATAATAAAAGACACAATAAACTAGTATTTTTCTAGGTATAACTAATATATTTTAAACAACTACATAGAATTTTATTTATAAATTAAAATACTCTATGAATATTGATGGCCTATTCTATATTTCTATAAAATTAGTATTTTTACATTTTATATTGGTTGTATAAAATAATTTCCTATACTCCGGATCACACAAACTATTCAGAATAAGAGTACCCTAGATTTACGTAGCAAAACTTGTCTTGACCGTGGCTGCCTGGTGTTGTCTTATTCTGAATAAAGTATAGTGTCAAACATTGACTAGTTTCCAAACAAGTGATGCTGTGCATTTGATACCTTGTAATGTTAATACCTAATGCGCATCTGCATGTTGCCAAATAGTGGGAATGACATCATGGTGGGAGAAAACAGACGTCGGGTATTACTAATTCGATGCGCGGTTTACGTATGGGGGACTCTCGTGGGCCGAAGTATAGTAATATTTTATGGCCAATGATTTTTTTCAATTATGATTGTATGTTACAAGTTCTTTCCGTTCGCTACATATCAGTTATATTTTGTATCCTGCTAAGGATCCCAATACACCAACTTAATATTGTAAATTATAAATAAAATGTTTGATAATTGTTAGGTATATATTTTAATCTTGTATCAATGTTAAATAAAATGTATTTTCATGTTATTGTAGTTGATGCATTTAATTCAACCAGATCTTACTGTAACGAATCTATGAAATAGTACATGCATGCGCTAGGACGCACTACAGAAGTGAATACTTGAATATTTAAATTTGATTTGAATTATAACTTGACTGTTGAATAACAGTAACATGCTGTAGTTAGATAATGATTTGAAAATACATAACTTAGGTCTAGGTAATCAAGAAATATACAAGATAAGTATAAAACGAAATCTAAATTTAAATATTTACTATTACCAATTTCACTCAAAGAGACAACTCTTATTTCAACAATACATGATACTTCATAATGTCTATTCTGACCAAATATTTTAATTTTTCATAACATGCACGAGGGATTGATCCAATGATCCATATGTTCATAATTTAATTTAGTTGATTAAATATTTAAGTTTGAGATAAAAAATAAAATGCGTTATATAGATCGCTGTTCCCTGTGAATACATCACTACATTAAGGATTTCCTCAAATGGTTAAACAGTTAAAATGTAATAATACCCTCTTGTATCAGTACCTAATTAAAAAAATTATGAATTTAATGTTGCTATTGTTTTTTTAAACTAGAAATCAGAAAAAACGATTATTAATTATTTATTATTATAAAACTATAAACTAAATTAGAACTTAGAAGAGATGCTAAGAATGTATTTATATTTTTAATTCGATTGATATTCAATCATGAAATTTATAACCTTTGTAATAATTAAATAATATCCACAATCATCATTATTAGATAGTATTAATAATAATAAAATAATATAACATTGTTATTAGGGTGAATTGGTAATATTATAAAATATAAATAATACCTCTACTTAGAATTTTTTTTTATTTATAAGACAGTACTGTAAACATATTCTGTTACCTATCTTGTACCTACTACCTACCTGCCTATATTATAATCTACGTAAAGAAGTCGGTTATGAATTCATAATTAAATAGTTACCTACTCAGTTCGTTGGTGGATAAAATGAAAATAAAATTATGGTAATAATAATAAATAAAAAAAAAATTTAAATTTATATTACTTATTCTACTAATTATAATTAGGTATATTTGGCTACTTGGGTAACTTTTTAGTTTTTTAATAAGCGACTGACTGACTGATCAGTGATCACTATTCACCACGGACTAAGATATTCACTGACTATAAAGATATTATGTTTGTCAATTAAATGAATATATAGAAATCTGTGATTGCAGTAGCCTAGCAGCTGTTTTTTTTGTAGTACACACTACGTGACACTACACAGGTACACACATGGTTGAAAAATGTTGTACTGTTGCAGAATACTTCAGTGATTACACTCGGTGAGTTAATAGTGTCTAAGGTTCTTACTTCATACCACGGTTGTATATCTACGACCGTGCTTCATACTCAAACCTGTCGTCAAGGTAAATTTTATATCTTTTATTTTCTCCTTCCGGGTTCATTTCTATTTTACATCTCAAAGTTATAGCATTTTCTCAAAGAGCCTATTACGAAGTTATAAAAATGTCGTGTTTAAGTATAATTTCTCGTAATTTCTCATCTTCTACTTTAGCCCGTGCAGCGATTAAAAATGTCACCGTTGTCGGAGGTGGTTTAATGGGCTCGGGTATCGCCCAAATATCTGCTCAAAGTGGTCACAATGTGACAATTGTAGAGCTCAACCAGGAAGTTCTAGACAAAACTCATAAGAGCATTCAACAGAGCTTACAAAGAGTCGCTAAAAAGGTTTATAAGGAAAAACCTCAAGAAGGTGAGAATTTTGTTTCAGAAACTTTGTCAAGAATTAGTACTTCCACAAACTTAGCTGATGTAGTACAAAGTTCAGATTTGGTGTTGGAAGCCATTGTTGAAAACTTGTCTATCAAGCACAAACTCTTTAAGTCCATAGATGATATAGCACCAGAAAAGACTATATTTGCTTCCAATACATCATCATTGTCTATCGGCGAAATTGCAGCTGTCTGTAAGAGGAAGGACAAATTTGCTGGGTTACATTTTTTCAACCCTGTACCGGTGATGAAATTATTAGAAGTTGTCAGAACTCCGGAAACATCTGATGAAACTTATGAAAAATTAATGGCTTGGGCAAAAGCTATTGGTAAAACGGCCATTACTTGCAAGGACACTCCTGGATTCGTAGTCAACCGACTTCTTGTTCCATTGATGGCCGAGGCAATTAGAATGATGGAGAGAGGGGATGCTTCTCCTAGGGATATTGACATAGCTATGAAGTTGGGCGCAGGACACCCAATGGGACCTATTGAATTGGCAGATTATGTTGGACACGATACTACTAATTCAATAATTAACGGATGGCATGAAAAATTCCCAGAGAATCCATTGTTCAACCCATTACCATCTTTACAGAAATTGGTTGATGAAAAAAAATTGGGTATCAAGACTGGTGAAGGATATTATTCTTATAAGAAATAATATTTTTCTTTATAATTATTGTTTGGGGGCAGAATATTATACTATTTTTATTTCATTTATATATCTATTTATTAAAATTGTAGTAATTATTGAAAAATCAAATTATTTTTATATACCTATTGTTTTAATTAAATAAAGCAAAGTATAATACAATGTATGTTCATCAGTTTTAAATATATAAAGTTGCATTGTTTTTTTAAGAATATATCTACTACAAAACTGAGTTCATTCTTAGAAAATTATACTTATCAAAAATATACATCAAATTTGATAAGTGAAAACTAATAAATTATAATTAGTTAATTTAATATTAATAAGCATAATATTGAATAGTTAAAATTTCAGCAAATATTTAAAACACTAAAAAGATAACACATTTAGTCATTATTATAGATTAATTTCTACTTTTGAGTTAGTCAAACAATTGTCTTTTTAATTAAAAATTGGGATACTGTACTCTGTTCCAAATAAGAATAGGCTTCAGCGGCCGAGTTATACATAATGTGGCTTTGTTTCCATAGCAGCATCCGACATATCGCCTTAGTGGGAACGGCGTCTAACTATTGTTGAACGAAAACTGGTCGCCGTTGGAGCCTGTTCCATGTAACACCAGTTACCATTCGAAAATAAAATTTGAGGGATCACAGACATTGGACATTACTAGTCCAAAAAAATAAATGAACTCAAGGAATTATTTTTATCAATTATGTAATGCATATTAATTTAAACAATTTGTTGACAAAACTACATTTTTTTTAGAGGTGCGGGAGGCTTAGCCACAGAATAATATATATTATTCTATGGCTCAGTCATGATATGCGTAGGTTCCACATTTATTTTGGAAGAATTTTGAGAGGTCACCCACTTGGGATGATTTTTATATTTGTTTAAGTTGTCAAAAATTTCTCTTTACCAAGAATCAACTGACACGAGATTAGAACTTATATCATCTATTAATTTAATGTTAATAAATGTTGCAGTTTCTTCAATTAGGAGTATCGTTATTAGTTCGGTCAAATAATTATTTTGAACACATACTATGGATAAGGATGTCGTCTATACATTTTTATTAAATCCTCAGTATAAAAAAATATGTACTATTTTCAAATCAATTATAACTTTCTTATTTGACATGTGTCTTGAATAAGAACACAACAATGTGTAAATCTTAGTTATCGGTTTATGCATTATCATATTTTTTTTTTTTTAAAACAAATTGAGTTAAAAAAAATTTAAATCAACAGGTATTTTTTTTTTTTTTTTTAATGCTGTAAAACAAGCATTTTGATATATAATATTTATACTTTACAATTTTGAAGCAAAGTTAAACAGAAATAACATAAATAAGATTAACAATGATGTATAATAAACATTGTCTTATAAACGTAATTTAAATATTAATTTGAATAATAATATACTTAACACATGTACAACTGAAGATTGCAATTGAATGCATTAAAAAATAGTTTTATAAATATATATATATATATATATATATTTTAATCTAATATAAACAGTTAATTATATTTTATTTCTATCAAAATTAATTAAACTAAAACCTTTATAACAACAATAACAAAACGGTTTGCCATAATATAAAGTAGTTAGTGGTAAATTAAAATGGTTAAAAATAAAATATAATAATATGATGTGCTGTTAAATCTTGAGTTATGACACATTGATTTTCTTATGACTTGAATTCTGTAATATTGTTTATAATTTATATACAGACAAATCAAACGAAACAAACATATTACTAGATTAACGATTATCTTGACAATTATTTTCTATGCAATACCAGTGTTTCCCAACATTTTTGATACGGAAACCCACTATATTAGAATGTTCTGCGAGAATATCCAAAAAAAAAAAATGTATAATTGTATTGTTATACTGTAGTAGGTTCTAGTTTAATTATAGTTTTGTATTGTAATATGACTGTGGTCTCCCAAAAAAATGTTTCTATCCAAATTTGGTTGGAAAACACTGCCGCACCACACATAATATTATAATATGCAAAAAGTATTTTATTATTATACAATCTTCGTTCATTAATTAATTAAAATGAATTTTTTATGTTTGAAAACAACATAAAAAAGCAAGTTACTGTGGTGACAGTAAATAGTAAATATTATACACATACATTATACAAATTAATAGCATCAACATTATTACAATATCCAAATCATTAAGTAACATTTTGCGCCATGATTTTATTTTAGATATTTTAAGAAAGTGTAATTAATTATACCAATTCATAACTTGGGATGAACACGTTATAATTGGTCCTTTGTTAATATGTTGATGTAGAGTTAACAATAGGTGAATTCACTAAAATATAACTGTATCATTGAGCCTTTTATAAAAAAAAAAACATATTTATTATGTTCTTCAAATGTTAGAATTTTTGATAAGATCATAAATAATATTTCATCTAATATATATTATAAAAATATTTATTTACACTCAAGGACATTCAAAAGATTTACTTCTTCCTTTAATATTATAATTTCTTTGATTTTAAATTGTAATACACAATAATATGTAAATAATTCATACATAGGGTGTAAGAAAAATAGAGCATAAAAAACAATAAATAGTATAAACTGAGGTGGTGGAATACTATGCATTATTTAAATAGTGTTTTAAAATTATTATTTGTTTATAACATTATTAAAAATGTATATTACTACTAACTAATGCAAAGAAGCCAAGTTAATGGAATGCAAAAATTGAGGTATAAACATCAGTAACAATAAATAAAATAAACAATTATTATTACCAAAATTATTAACAATTATTTACGAAGCAACAGTCTTACAATTAAAATACACTATTCAGGAATATATGAAAAATGAAAAACAAAAATATGACACATATTACAACTATAAATTACTGAGTAATGTATTATAATTTTGAATGTTCCAAACATTTTGAACAAAAACAATCGTTATAGATATATATTATATATTAAAACAGTTATAAAAAAATCTATAACATACATTTTAAATTAAACTATATATGTTTACCATACTTAAATACTATTTTCAATAAAAATTATTATTCACATAACTGTGATAATAATAGTGACATAAAAGTGATAGTTTTCAATAAAATAAAAAAGAAAGGGTACATAGTTATCAACAGTTGAAATATTTAATTAATGTATTATATAATTATTCCACCAACCAGTAACTATTAACTTTTAAATACTCAATTATTCTTATACCCTGTACAACACTACCAATAATATTTTATTACTTTGAGAATTCAATTAAAATTTTTAAATTCATACTGACAACAAAAATAATCAGTCACATAAAGTTTAAAAAAAAAAAAAAAATAATAATAATAAAAATAATAATAATAATAATAATAATAGTTAATCAACTTAATTGTGACAAATAAAAATATATATAAATATATTATTATAAATACACAAATAACTTATTATTTGGTCTTTAAATACATTTTAAATTACAACCGGATCATCAAGTTGTATAAACATATTCCATGGATGTTCAACAAAAATAGACTTAAAAAAATATGTCTTTAAAACAATTTTGAAGTAAAAAAAAGCCAACACAAGTAAATAAAAAAAATTTCACTTGGCAAGTCCAAAGTCATAGCAGTGTTGAGAAAAAAATAGAAAGGTATAATAACATTAAATTCAAAAAATGTTAAATGTTTTGCGTGGTACAACATGAAAATATGTCTATTAACACAATCATCTTACAAATAAAATAATAAAAAGGTTTTTAAGTTGATACTTAAAATAAGTGTTGGGACATATACATACAATTTGTTCCACTTCATGTAACAGTAATTAAAAGCTTTCATTAGGTTATTCATCAAGTTTTCTTTTTTTCCCTCTAGTATTTTCTGAATCTGTAAATATTAATTTTTATTGTGACTGTTGAATGTTTACAATTTTTAAATAATAAGTTGATATATAAAACATAACACAATGATACATTGAACATGAGGACAATTACATAAAATGTTAGCTAAATGTTCCTAAATGAACAGCATTAAATTACAGATATTTTAAGTATATTTTAATTGAGATTAGGCTGATGAGCTTTTTTTTTCTTATTATTACACTATAGTCTATAATATTATAAAGAATAGGCTGCTGGGCATTTGGTGCAGATTATTTTATACAATTATAATATACCTACTGTGAAAAGCTTATGAGAGCGAGTGTTAAATAATTTAAATGTTTAATGGCCCAATTGTTAAATATATATATTTAGTGTGTTTAACACAGTTTTGTGTAATCAATACTATTGTGGGGGAGGGGGGTATTTTAGAACACCAAAATTAAATAATTGAGAAGATGTAACTATATTACTTTAAAACCCAATAACCTGATAAAAGTGTAAAATATTGTTCTTAGTATGTATAATATATTTTTATTTTTCTTGATCTTACATTACGATTAAAAAATCAATGTTATAGGCTTATAGTTATAACTTTAACATATTATTATACTTCAAATTTGACGGAATAAAAATGAAAAATAATACAAAATAATATTAAATTCATTCTACACAGCAATAATTAAATATTATAAAATACTGAATGCAACAAAATACAATATTTTAAAATATAATAATAATATAATTGGCTTCCCTAGTATATAAAATATCAGGTTATTATTGGGAAAATTAATAAAGTATTATTGTGCAATATAGTGAGATCAATATCGAAAAGAAACAAATATCACCATATTCATAAAAAATTATATATTGATTTAATTTCTGTCCATCTATCATCTTGTTTGAAAACATTTGTTCATGCCTATACAAATATCGGATAAGACAAATTTAGGTTAGCTAATAAAAATGTAAATACTCACCATTAGCAGTCGTATCATCGGCTTCGGCTGCATCATCATCACTTTCATCCGTAGAATCTTGATCTACACCATCTTCCTCATCTAACACATAATCATTTCCTTCGCTTTCTTCATCAATATTATCTTTTAACAAGTCTTCCAAGCCTCCTTCACCATTTTCATATTCTTGATCAGATGATTGATCAGACGATTGATCGTCAGTATACAAGTTTTCTTTTCCGACTTCATCGCGATCAACATCATCAACATCGTCATCATCATCATCATCGTCGTCGTCATCATCATCATCGTCATCGTCGTCACCTTCGCCTTCTTCTTCAGCTAAAATAATTAATTATCATCTTAGTACATACATTATTAACAAATATACACTTTGTAAAATGTTACCTTCAGATTCTGAATCATCATCACTGTCACTGGCAGATTCTTGTTTGCCATTGAAAAAAGTATCTCTAAAATTATAAAGATTTGAATTTAACATGATAAAAACTATAGTTAATAATAACTAAAACATACCCATCTAGACATGTAATGGACTTGGCAAAATATTCTATTACATATTCTTTATAACCTTCTTCTTTAGTTACTTCATTATTAGACAAATCCAAATACTTGAGACGTTTTAGAGATTTCTGTATGAAAAAAAAAACATTCATAATTTTATTGGACATTTCAAATATTGTTGGTAAAATTTATTTTTTTTGCTAGTATCAATGATATTACCAATGGATCAATTGCTTCAATATCTTTCAATTTATTTTGGCTGAGATTCAATGATTTGAGATTAGTACAACCACTTAGGTTTTGAAGACTATTGGAAATACGATTTTCACTGACATCCAACTAAAAATTATTCAATAATAATAAAATAAATGGCAAATTATAAGACTAATTAAATAATAAAACTCACAAAAAGAAGCGAAGGCAATGCAGGAAAACCTTTTAAGCTTGTTAAACCAACATTGATTATACTAAGATTGCGTAAACCGACATATTCATCTGTAAGACCAACTATTGCAGTACTACGACAATCATCCAAAATCAATTGATCTATCTAAAAAATTAAAAAAAAAAAAATACAATTTATTGAGAATATATGTTTTTAATGTTTGTATAACATCTCAGTATAAGTACAATATATATTTGATACACTTTCACAAAAAATAATCATGATCAAGTAGGTACCTAATGATTAATTTGTATGTATTTATTTTTCTGTAAGGATTAGTTTCCAGCGTAAAATAGCATAAACAGTAGTATGTTTCTTTAGAGTTTAGACACATGGAAATTTAATAATGATGGTAATTTAAAAAGTAGCTTGTAAAATGAGTTTTCTTTTTGGAAGAAAAGAGAAGATTGACTAAAATAGTCAGGTTGGGACAATTTCTTTAGTTTTTCACATAATTGTAAAAAATTACTAAAAAATGGAATTTATAGACAGCAATTCAGAGCAGATTCTGGGTGCTCAGGCCTTGGATTATAACAATTAAAAATTGTATTTTTTATTTTTAGCCCAACCATAAATTCAATCAAATCTGGTTTTGGGAAACTTATACTTCCCAAAAAATTTTCAAATTTTAATTAACCTATGAACTTAAATAATCAATATATATTATCCATATTGCTCATGTTATTAAAAGGTACCTAAACTTTATTCTTATTCAAACACTGATGAACAATTCTAGTGAGTTTGAACATTTATAATTTAATTTAATTATCATCGAACAATAAATCACACAAGAGATAGTGGTATACACAAAAATATAATGACCTACAACCAGCCAATAATCAGTAAAAACTAAAAACTGAACGGGCAAACGTGTTGTAGTGGATTAAAATTCGAAACATTATATTATTACTGTGGTATGGTCATTCAGCGTCACACATAATACACGCTAATTATTATGTACAAATAAATATTATTAGTCGGAATACCTAATAGATAGATTTAATAAATGCATTTGAAGAAAAAAAATAAAAACTCAGCGACGAGGTATTTAAAATTTAAACATGGCCGCCGGCCAAATTACCCACCTACCCCTACCCCAAAAAGTCGTGAGAGCACACGCGCCGACGCGCACATAGTAAGTAGTAGGTACACGGTCACCCGCGTCCCGCGACTCACGAGTCTCGACTCGAATACTCGATGGCGTTTGCGCGCCCGCGCACGGCGTACACGCACACACAGACACCTGTCCGTCCAATCGCTTTCGTTGTTATATCGATAGCTTAATTAAAACCGTCGCGGCCGAGGCGCACCGTCGGTTTATATTTTATAATAATAATAAAAAATATAATATAATACATAAACAGAGGTTACACAATGCACGCGACCGCGCGGCGGTTGGCGATAATTTTCAAACGGCGTAGCGAACTCTTTACTCTTCCGATCAGAAACATCTGGTGATAAAATATAACGACCAAACCACAATCTCGAGAATAAAATGATGAATAACGTCGCTCGATAACTTTCGTACCTTAAGATAAATATCACATAACGTTTTGTTAATATTAATCCAGGGAATCAAATGGGAAGAAATTATACTGTTATTGAAAGTATTTCAATCGATTTGCGCGCGGTTCAAGTTCAACACGCCGCCAGAAGTGAGCACGCACACTCACTCACACACACACACATACAAGCATGCCGGACGGCGGCAAGAGATCGCGCGCGTTGTACGAATTTGAAAATATCTACATTTCTTGTTAATTTTTACCTCTTCGGCGCTCCGGCCCCGTTTCTCCAGTTCGATTCTCTTCTCCATGCCGGTGTCGGCGTCCGTCGTGGCGATTGTTATGCTATGTGTCTATGTTCACAAACGCGAGCCGGCGAACCACTTACAGGACGACGGCTGTTGGGGGATGGCGGGTATAAAGTCACACGTTCGAAAGTCGAAACACCGTCCAAGGGTACGACGACGGAAGAACGAGTGCGTGCACGACAAAGTCGACGGATCAAAAAGTTCAACGACAGGTACACACGCCTCGTCGGTCGGCGGGTTGACAGTAGCTTTTCCGGTCTCGGGAAGCGGGCGATTTTGAAGGAGAAAACCGTTCCTCTAAGCCGTTGTCGACAAAACGCGAAAGCGATGCGGGCTTAACCGGTGGTCGGAGAACAAGCAATAAAAAACAGTACAACACACGTACACACACACACACACGGACGAGGGATAATAATAATGCGGTAGTGCGGTACCTACCACTGTCACAGTCACAGAGCAAGTGCGAATGCGTAAAACACGACGTTCACTCGCGTAGTCGCGTCACACGCACACATCAACATAAATACACATAACACACTATAGCCACTAGCGCCTGTGGTGCCTACAACTACAACGCACGGGCAAACAAGTCGGGGCGCAGGCGTACGCACTACGCGCACCACAGAACGCTCGTCGCTCACGTAAATACGTACACACTACACACACACAGTGTAGTGTGTACACCGGAAACCCGTCGTGGCGTCGTGGATCATGTCTCGTGATACAGGCACAGCAGCTGCTGTATCTGTGGTGTGTGTTGTTAATTATTCTATATTTCTATGATAATGTCTAGTTTTAGGTTATGTGTAATATTCAATTATGTTCTTACGTTGTAGACTACTATAGTCGTGGCAACGAAAAATGAGCGTTGGTACCGCGACCCGTTGTTTTTACCCACTCTTACGGCCAGTGATTCTCAACATAGTGCAGCTGTCGTGCTGCTACGCGCTGTACCTACTGTATTGTATTTGAAAAGTGAGCGGTAACAATTATTGTAACCGTCAAGTTACAGATGGTGACCACGATTTAAGATATACCTTAAGATATATCTTAAATCGTGATGGTGACCCTCAGGCTGCAGGAATTCAAACTATAACATTCCAGACCCTCTTTTGTAGGGATATGTTTAGGAGGGGGATTTATTTTATACCAGCCACCTTATATACATAGATAATATATAGAGGATAGGCCATTCAACAAATATTCTCGTGTCCAGAGAGCACCCAAGAAACCAGGGTGGTAGTATGATGGTCCAATGTGGTTCAACGGTTATCACTTATCACTTTTCGTTTATCAATCATTTAAATTTCGCGCCTTTTTAAATCATATATTATCTATGCTTATATAGTACATTTTTTTCCTGGTCTATCGTTTACACACTCTGTTGTCGTAAACACTAAACACGTATTTCGTGCGCACCGTGTTATAGTCATTGAATATCGTAGTACGTTTGTTTTAAAACTTAAAAATGTCGTTCAAAGATCGTGATACTCATAGTCAGAGTAAAAAAATCATTTTTAGTGTTTATAATTTTATTAAAATGTGTTCGGAAAAAAAAGATTTGGATTCAGATTTTTTTAAAAGCGCACAAAAAATTGCTGCTCAGGCTTGTGGTATTTCGTATATAACTGTACGGCGTATATGTATGGAGGCGAAAAAATCTTCAGTGGATAGTGATGAAGAAGTGCAATTTCAATCACCTCGTAAATTGTACAAACGTGAAAAGAAATGGTCCGAGCTGGACGATTTCGATGCTGATGTAGTCCGACGGATCGTACACGAATTTTATCAAAGACATGAATATCCGACTGCTTCTTCAATTTTAAGCGAAATTAAAAAAAAATTACCACATTATGAAGGATGCGTCCGGTCGGTAAGAAATTTGTTAAAAAATTTAAAATTTACGTTTAAAAAATGCAATAATGGCCGCAAAATGCTTATGGAGCGAAACGATATAGTCGCTGTACGATGTAAATTTTTACGTACAATGTGTACACTCAGACAGAATGAAGATACCCGACCTGTGGTTTACCTAGATGAAACCTGGGTAAACCAAAATCATTCAAGGTCTCGTATTTGGCAGAATAATGAAGAAACTGAGGGATTTAAAATACCAACCGGCAAAGGAGGTCGCCTAATAATTACTCACGCTGGATCATCGCGTTTCGGGTTCATAGAAGGATCGAAATTAGTTTTTAAATGCCAATCTGGAAATTCTACTGACTACCATTCGGCTATGAATTCAGATGTGTTTAAACAATGGTATGTAGATATGCTAAAACTACTTCCCGAACCATGCGTAATCGTTATGGATAATGCACCCTATCATTCTATGTTGGTAAACAATTATCCAAAATGTAATGCTCGGAAAGCTGAGGTGCAGGAATGGCTGAAAAATCAAAATATTAATTGTTCACCTTTGGAATCTCTAGCCGAACTACGCGAACGTGTGAATTTGTTAAAACCGACATTTAAGAAGTACGAGCTAGATGAAATAACAAGTTCAATGGGCCATGAAGTAGTACGACTGCCACCGTACCATTGTCAGTATAACCCCATCGGACTTATATGGGCTCAAGTAAAAGGCAAAGTGGCAACAAATAATACAACGTTGAAAATGGTGGACGTCGAAAGACTCACTCACGAAGCATTGGATTTGGTATCCAAGAGTGACTGGGAAAAATGCGTCAAACATGCTGAGACAATCCAGGATGAAGATTATCAGAAGGAGATACTAATGGACAGTGTATTAGAGCCACTCATTATAACTTTTCAAACTGACGACAGTGATTTTGGCAATGACGAGGACAGTGAAGATGACGTTCAAACACTTATTTAAAAATTGCTATTTTACTATAATATAATTGTCTTTTATTATTTTTTCCGTTTTAAATATTTTTTAATTGTTTGTATGATAAAATGTAAAATAAATTGATAACCAATAAAAAAAAAAAAAAATAATACCTATATAAGTTATTTGATCTTTTTTAAAAATAAGCGGGCTTTTTGTTTCAAAGATTGGTAACTACTACCAATAAACTGCCGCTTGGCGCATGACGGTCAGCGCTCATTTTTCGTTGCCGCGATATAGACTCATGTGACAATGTGACATGTACAATAATTCGCTATTTCGCTGTACACACGCACCTTGTCTTATACGACTATACGAGTAATGAATTAATTAATATTGAATAAAGTTAAAAGAGTATCTAATTCAGTGGCGGTTTTGATAAAACATCAAGGGGGGGCTATTTTCGATTTTTGGGTCTCCCCTGCCATAATTAAAGCAATTCAAGCATTTAGTGTAATTTAAATTAAAAAAAGGACATACAAAAAAATCCAATGGCGGTGATCCCTTCACCCCCTCCTTAAAACTACCACTGATCTAATTAGATATGTGTATAGTGTATTTATTAGAACTCGCAACACCGACAGTATCACTATTCACTATTAGCTTAAGTCAATAACAATATATATATTATGTAAAAAGCTTCTGCTTAGCGGCTATTATATACTTTATAGTATATACTTAATAATTATTTAATTATATGAAAATATTATTACTAATTACTAGTACCTACTACCTATTTACCAAGAAAATTGTTACCAATAATTATTATTATCGTATTGAAGGTATGAGATATCCAAATGCATATTATACTAAATAGCTTTAAATTAAAATATAAATGTAGAGAAAAGTTCATTGTTGTGGTGTAACTAACATGACTCGTCCGAATTTTAATTATTAAACGAATCATGTTTTTAAAATGTATAAACAAATTTTTGATTATAACAAAATCTTTCAGAACTAAAAAGTAAAAAGATTTTTTTTTTGTATTTGAAGATTATTTCAAATACTTCTGAAAAGTATTTGAGTATGACTATAATTGTTATATATTATTTGTTCTATGGTTAACCGCGAAACCGTTGGCGATAAGCAAGTAGTGACAAGTCGTGAATACTGAATATTATCAGATTATAATTTATAGATACACAATATTATAGATAAACAATAAATACATTTTACGTATCAAAAAGGTAAATTAGTGAGATATTTTAGATGTTCTAAATTTCTAAACAGTTGTACACAGTTGCTACTTCCTGCCGTTTCCTTACTCTGTAGTTCCGAGTCGAAATTTCAGCTTAATAGAGCACAGAAAGGTAAATAAAAAATGGATATTATAATATTTGAACGTTTAATATAATTGGTTAAGAGTTTATTTAACTTCAGCTGTCGATATTCAAGGGTGGCTTACAATTTTACGAATAAAATACGTCCATCGTTGAAACGTTACTTATTGTAAATGGTACTCGTTATTGTATTAAGTATTATATTTTATTTGAGAATACTGATTGATACAACTTAATATGTTTACTACCCGTTCCATCAATTATTTTCAAAAGATTAAGTATTCTTCAGTCTTTTTTTGAATCTAGTATAGTCGTCTACTAACTAAAAAAGATCACCAGAATTATTTAATAATATAGTTACACTCAAAGTTTTGTGGAATTTAATTTTAATTTTAACGATTTCTTTTAATATAAACAAATTGAATAACAAGTATAATCTGAACCCTCTATCAGTGCCGTAGCCAGGGGGACACTTATTAATTGTCCATAAGTAAAAAAGTTAAACCCCCTTTTAAGATGTTTTTTATAACTTAAGGTATACTATCATATGATACCGGCTAGTCGATTCTTCACTGTACATATTGTTTATTATTTATAAATTTACTTAAGTTTGATTTATATTTGAATTAAAGTAGGCATTTATATTCAGTAGCTTATCTAGGATTTTTTCAAGTGGGGGGGGAGGAATTTTTAATTGGCATTTAGTATACACATTATTTTCATATTATTATGTACTTGTTGTATTGTGTAAAAAACTTGGTATCCGTGGGAGGGATATGACCCCTATATCACCCCCCTTAGATAGGCCACTGACCACTATTTATATTATTTTAAACCATGTATTTTTTAAAAAAAATTTAGATTATGGAAACTGACAAAATTTCAATTTTGGAAAAATGTGTTGCTGCCTTAGAACTGAAAGTATACGGTATAAACAAAGAAGCACAAGCTTCTCTGCCAAGTAGTAGCCTTCTTGAAGAAGTCAAACAAGTTGACAATAACATTGGTAATGCATGTATTGGTCATCCATATGCTACTACTTTACTCAGTCATGTAAAACTTTTGGACAAGTTGATGGATCCTTTCTATGAAGACTATCAACCAGAATTATCTAAACGAGAAGTTATACTTTCCGCTGAAGCTGAAATAATTGGATATGCTCAACAACTCAAACAGCTTAATGAAAAATGGCCGGCTCTAAATGATAAGTATTACAGTGAAATAGATAAACATGCTGAAGAAATTGAAATATTAGTCGAGAACGAACGCAAACAACGTGAATTAATTAAAGAGCAAACTGAACACATACACACATTATTATTCAGGTGAAATTAAAAATATTTATTATTAGTACATTAAAGTTTCTTCTGAATACATATTTTTGTTTGTTTTTGTGTGATTATTATAGGTACGAACAGCTTATGTTAAAATTTTCAGTGGCGTTTGATACATTAGAAAAAGAAATTACTGTATTAGAGTACAAAACTTCAAAGAAACCTGAAGAAGATTGTGATAATGATAAATAATTATAACAATAGTGTAAAATAATAATATGTACATTTAATTATAAATATTTAACTATAATATTATATTATAACTTGTTAATAAATAACCTAAAACATTCTTATAAATTGTATTAAAATATTTATACATTGAATGCATTATTTTAAGCTAACAAGTTTGTCCTGCCTCATCTAGTGCTACCTGGTAATACCTTGGACTAATTATTGACCAACACCTTACAAGTGTACTCTCATCAATGACAAATCACTGTGAATTCCAGAAGAATGACCTTCTACTTTATACACAATAGAAACTCAAAGCTTAAGATTTGGGCTTAAGGAAAACACATCTGGCCCATTAGGTATGCTGCTAAAGCATCAAACAGATATAAAATTAAACTTTTTAATCCATCACAATATGAATTATAATGCTAAGGAGTGCCAGCTCCTTCTGATTGCATAAAACTTAAATGTTATTTTAAACAAGTGTATACATTGACATATTTAAATTAAACTGTACACCAAATAATAAACTCAGAAAAACAAAAAATACCACCATTTACTGTTTATAACAGACTATGTATGTGTCACTCAACGATGTCCCATGAACGTCTTATTCGCAGAGAAGAGCCTGTAATGTGCCAAGAAATGTTGCGGAGAATTTCTTACAGTCAAGCACCTCCTTGTCTACTGTCAAAACCATATAGAAATCAGAAATATCATAGATATGTCTGACATCTTTGATGCCCTAAGCAAAATCCAAGACTACACCAACAAAATCATCACATTTCTATAACTTATTGATATGTACAACTTATTCTAAGGAAACCATTATTTACTTATATGTAACTAATATTTTATTTATTTTTTACAAGCTAATAACCTAGTAGTTGATGTAGTACCATGAATAATAATAAGAAAAAAATTGAACTAAAAACTGTACTGTTTAAATTGACACCCGTCCAGTAAGTGTTTCCCGCCACTCAGGATTAATTTATGCTAGCAATTTAAATATCTTGTATATCTGATGTTTTACTATGACTGTATTCATAGTTAGATGTTCATACCTACGTCCTACATTTAAAATAAAAATGGTAAACACAAAAGTGCTTTAATACTAACAGTTTAATAAATGATGATATCCAACAAAATTATTAAATTATTTGTATGCATTTGTTACTACTCGTCCATAACTTAATTATAATAACCAAATTCATTATTAGAAAATAATTAATTACCTACACACATATATCAAATATTATTCAATTCAGCAGTAATGGTATGAATGAATAAAAATATAATAACTATTAATTGTGAATACAAACATGTATGCGGCCCAGATTGAACCGGCGAGCTACTGAGAAAATCTTGGTGGGCCAAAAGTAATCTTTCTATGTAGAGGAATAATAATATAGAATGATATAAATATATATAATTCAAAATTGATGATTCATAACAATGAATGTGTCAGTTGTATCACAGATTAAATTATTAAATTTTTCGATCTGTGGTTGAATATTACTGTATTGGGCATTCCATTCCAGAAAAAAATAAGCTAGAATTTCCTATTAAAAGTGAATATATAAAATTAGACAAGTGGGTACCACTCTGATGTACATAAAGTGTCAAGTGGGACACTGTATAATGTATATGGGTTAAATTTAAATTCAATAATATAAAATTATTGTATGTACGAAAAAACGATTCTGAACGTAGGTTTGTCAGCCTATAGTACCAATATTAGATATTATATAAAATGATAAAATTAAACCGGGTATAGAAAATTTCAAAATAAACAATTTTGAGTGTACCTACTACCTACAGTTATTCATTTTTGAATTAAAAAAAAAAAATTGTTTGATGAGAATTCGTTAATTTATGGATGAATATCCAATGTTAAGATTATTTGAACTTCAAATGCTCATAATTTTCTAATCTTAGATATATAAAAAAAATATTTAATTAACTATAAATAGGGCAGTGAAGTTACTGCATTAAAAAACTCACTAAATTGATTGCATTTTTGCATTAAAATATATTAAAAGTTGCATCGAAAAAATTTAATTATAATCAATTAAAATCAAACATATTAATAAATAGTAATAATAAAAATTAAATATGAATATTATTGCATTGCATAACAAATGATTTTTTTTAAGTTTTAAGCGACCTTAATGCAATAATTGTTCTATAGAAATATTAATAAAATAATAAGTATTACAGCAAATATAGAAATCTGTTCAGGTTTACTTACTTTTATTTTATATTTCAAGTTATATAATCTTAAACGTAAACAAAAATTATGAAAAATAGTTTAAATTGCAGTAAAATAAGGAAAATCGCCATAATTGCATTTATTGCAATATAATTTTTTTTTGATTAAATTAAGAGTTTAATGAAATATATTTTAAGCTCACTCAGCAATAAATATAAGCATTTACAAAAAATATGCAAACGCAACAACTTCACTGCCCTAATTATAAATGTCCAACTCAAAATAATTTGAACATTTCAGAGACTTTAATGAATTTTATCAAAATTCTAACTTAATAACAAATTATTGTTATGTTATAATACTTCTATTTAACTATTTGGTAGCTTTATTATGTACATAGTACCTATAAAGATAAGTGTAAAATAAAATAATTCACTTTTCTATAGTTTACTTTAGTTTCATTTGAATTTTGATTTTTGATTGTAGTGTAAATAAAATAAGAAATAAGGTACATTTTTTGTCAAATGGTCCAATTGTTTGTTTATGGCCGATAAAAATTTAAAATCTCAGTGGGCCGAAAAGCCTCAATCTGGCACTGCATGTATGGGATACTGAGTAGTAAGTAAATAGTTGTATTTTTCATTTCTGAATAACTTTTCCATTTATAATATCAATAATACTATATTCTGTTTATATAATTTATAACCATTATTAAAAATTATTTATAAATAATATTTGATATTTCCAATTATTATTTTTAATAAAATTAATTCTTATAAAATAGAATATATTTTAAATCTTTGGTTTTAGGGAAAAAGTTGACAATAAAACTAACTATAAATTTAATAATTTAATAAATAATATTTTCTTATGATTAGAACATCAAAAATACTTTAGATATAAGTGGCCAGGGATGGGCACGATACTCAAAAAAAGTATCATGATACATGCATTTAGTTATCAAGATACAAGATACCTTGTGAATGTAGAAAAGATACAAGATACATGATACTTTTATACTTCCAATCAAATTTTATTAACTGTTAAATGTAAAACGTCTATACACAATTCACTATACTGTCTATACATAATAAATACATAATAATAGTATTTATAAATACTTATAAAGTCATAATTATATTAAATAATAGAATAAGTCAATAGGTACACATTATACATTTATAAATTATAACTAATACATCACATATATAATATAAATACAACAAAATTAATAAATTACATAAAAATTACATCTTAATTTATACTCAAATATAGTTGCTTTATGTATATAATAAAATTGGTTACGGACTTATGGTCAAAAATGAATAAATAAATGAAATTTGTTATGGTCTTATAATATGGACTTAATAGTTATGTTTAGTTTAAATTAAATATTATTTTTATAAATTAAATCTTGATTGCTTTTAAGGAAAATTATTTTTTCAAACATTTTGTCTGATAGATTACATCTACTGAGTGAGTGCACTAGTTGAGTGATTTATAAGATGATTTATAAGATGATTTATAAGATTGTGTGGTACATTTTTTCATTATCGTTAATTTCGGCTCGATTGCACCTATACACATTTTTTGTAAAAATACAATCTGCGACAAAATTATCTAATATCGAAAATCGAAATGTTTTGGTACTATTCGGTACACATTTTTACAATAGTAGTATCTTGTATCTTTTGGCAAAAAAAAGATACATGATACTTGATACTTTAAAACTATGTATCATAATACAAGATACAAGATACAATTGTATCTTTGATACTGCCCAACCTTGTAAGTGGCAGGCATCAACTAAACCTGAGTGGCGGGAGAATACTGTCTTGGTGGGTATCAACTAAACCAGTACCCTAAAAATCACAGTAGATTATAGCGTGGATTATCTAATCTACTATATTAAAAACTAATACTAATGATAGTACATATAATATATTTAAATATGCTTGTTATTTGTTTTTAGAGATTAAACTATCCTTAACCCGTCGTTGGTCGCTTGGTGAGAGATTCTCTCACTACAAGATTATTTTACTCACCGCCATATTTTATATAGGTTTATTTCCTAGTAGTTATGCTATACCTTATTAGATACATTTAATCTAAAAATAAAAATATTTTACTAAAATATTATGTATAAAAGAAAATATAAATAGTTTATATGTGAATATAACAGAATATAATATTGTTGATACAAATTAGTAATTACATAATGTGTTTTAGTTTAAAATATTATATCATGACATATTGAAAAAAAGTGAGAGAATCGCTCGACACGGGACCAAAGGAGTACAAAAAATACCCGACCAACGATGGGTTAATAAATGTTAAAAAAATTTATAATATATAATAATGGAAAGTTAAATAAATATTTATTTTTAGCAGTTGAATAAAAATATGTTTTTCTTTTAAGTTAATGCAAATAAGTAAAAAAAAAGTAAAAAATTACATCAACCTAAATATTTTTTTTAAATGTTAGGAATAGCATACAAAAATAAAATTTAACTATATGATTACAATACTCAAGTCACTATTTAGTTACTGAACTAAAAAATGAATCCAAATGATATTTTATCTATTCATAGAAAAAGTTGATATTTGGAGGAAGCTTGCCTTGAGCTTTAGCTTTATCGACATTTGTGTTAAATTCACTGAAATCAACGTACGGCAGTATAGCTTTGATTGAACCGCTAGATGGGTCGGTTGAAGTTGATGTTGTAGTTTCAGTCAAGTTTATAGCTGTATCTGAAGAAAAAATAATGTTTAATAAAAGAATTAAATAGTTCATACAGTTAATGTTAAC